CATTTTTCCCAAAAAACCCCAAAATTCCCAACATTTGTGTCCAAAACCCCCAAAATTCCCAACATTTGTTCCCAAAACCCCCAAAATTCCCAACATTTGTGTCCATTTGTTCCCAAAATTCCCAAAATTCCCAACATTTGTGTCCATTTGTTCCCAAAATTCCCAAAATTCCCAACATTTCCCCCATTCCCAACCCCAAACCCCCCAACCCCGGCACCTTTTTCCCCCCCAACCCCTTCCCGGACCCCGTTTTTCCCGGGGTTTTTTTCGGGATGCGATTCCCGAGGGCTCCGGGGCCGTTCCCGCAGTGTTCCCGTGCGGGCCGGATTCCCGGGAATGGGAATATTTTGCCGGGAATTGTTATTATTTCTCGCTGGCGCGGCTGAGCTGGGGGCGGGCGCGGGAGCGGTGCCGGGAGCGCCGGGCTCAGCTCGTGGTCATCGGCAGCTTCCCCGGGCAGGTGACAAAATATTCCCAAAAATATCCTGGATATCCCAAAAATCCGCATCCCGAAATTCCCAAATCCTGAGAATCCGGAAAATCCGCATCCTGAAATTCCCAAATCCTGAGAATCCGGAAAATCCGCATCCTGAAATTCCCAAATCCTGAAAATCCCGAAAATCCCAAATATCCCGAAAACCCAAATCCCAAAAATCCCAAATATCCCAAATATCCCGAAAACCCAAATCCCAAATATCCCAAATATCCCAAAAATCCCAAATATCCTGAAAACCCAAATCCCAAAAATCCCAAATCCCAAATATCCCAAATATCCCGAAAATCCCAAATCCCAAAAATCCCAAATCCCAAAAATCCCAAATATCCCGAAAACCCAAATCCCAAAAATCCCAAATATCCCGAAAACCCCAAATCCCAAAAATCCCAAATCCCAAAAATCCCAAATATCCCGAAAATCCCTAATCCCAAAAAACCCAAATATCCCGAAAACCTAAATCCCAAATATCCCAAAAATCCCAAATATCCCGAAAACCCAAATCCCAAAAATCCCCAGCCCCAAAAATCCCAAATATCCCAAAAACCCCAATCCCCAAAATCCCAAATATCCCGAAAATCCCAAATCCCAAAAATCCCAAATCCTAAATCCCAAATATCCCAAAAAAACCCCAACCCAAAAATCCCAAACATCCCAAAAATCCTAAATCCCAAAATTCCCCAGGCCAAATATCCCAAATCCCAGATCCCAAACCTTCATCCCGATCCCACTGATCCCAATCCTGATTATCCCGATTTTCCTGCCGATCCCAACAATCCCAACGATCCCAATTATCCCGATGTTCCCGCTGATTTTCCTGCCAACTTCCCCATTTTTCCCGGTGATTTTTCCCAATTTTCCTGATTCTTCCCACCAATTTTTCCCAATTTCCCCACTGATTTTTCCCATTTTTCCTGCCGATTTTCCCATTTTTCCCAGTGATTTTTTCCTAATTTTCCCGATTTTCCCTCTGACTTTTCCCGTTTTTCCCGTTTTTCCTGCTGACTTTTCCCATTTTTCCCATTTTTCCCGCCAATTTTTCCCGTTTTTCCCGTTTTTCCCGCTGACTTTTCCCATTTTTCCCGTTTTTCCCGCTGACTTTTCCCGTTTTTCCCGCCGATTTTTCCCGTTTTTCCCGCTGACTTTTCCCATTTTTCCCGTTTTCCCGTTTTTCCCGCTGACTTTTCCCGTTTTTCCCGTTTTTCCCACTGATTTTTCCCACTTTTCCCGTTTTTCCCGCTGACTTTTCCCGTTTTTCCCATTTTTCCCGCCAATTTTTCCCATTTTTCCCGCTGACTTTTCCCGTTTTTCCCGCTGACTTTTCCCGTTTTTCCCGTTTTTCCCGCCAATTTTTCCTGTTTTTCCCGCTGACTTTTCCCATTTTTCCCGTTTCTCCCACTGATTTTTCCCGTTTTTCTCGTTTTTCCCGCTGACTTTTCCCGTTTTTCCCGTTTTTCCCGCTGACTTTTCCCGTTTTTCCCGCTGACTTTTCCCGTTTTTCCTGCCGATTTTTCCGATTTTTCCCGTTTTTCCCGTTTTCCCGCTGACTTTTCCCGTTTTTCCCGCTGACTTTTCCTGTTTTTCCCGCTGACTTTTCCCGTTTTTCCCGCTGACTTTTCCCGTTTTTCCCGTTTTTCCCATTTTTCCCGCTGGCTTTTCCCGTTTTTCCGGAGCCTCAGCAGTTCCTGATGTCCCGGACTCGGAACGAGCGCTTCTGGATCGGCCTCACGGACGAGAATTCCGAGGGAAAATGGGAATGGGTGGACGGCAGCGACTACGGATCGGCCTTCACGTGAGCCCCGCAATTCCCAGAGCCCCGAAATCCCGGGATTCGGGGAGGGAGGGGATTCATTCCCGGGAAAAATCCACCAAAATTGGGAAAAATCCACCAAAACTGGGAAAAATCCACCAAAATTGGGAAAAATCCACCAAAATTGGGATTTTTCCATGGAAAATCGACCAAAATTGGGATTTTTCCAGGGAAAATCGACCAAAATTGGGATTTTTCCAGGGAAAATCGACCAAAATTGGGATTTTTCCATGGAAAATTGACCAAAATTGGGAAAAATTGACCAAAATTGGGATTTTTCCCTGGAAAATTGACCAGAATTGGGAAAAATCCACCAAAATTGGGATTTTTCCATGGAAAATTGACCAAAATTGGGATTTTTCCCTTGGAAAATTGACCAGAATTGGGAAAAATTGACCAAAATTGGGATTTTTCCATGGAAAATTGACCAAAATTGGGAAAAATTGACCAAAATTGGGATTTTTCCCTGGAAAATTGACCAAAATTGGGAAAAATCGACCAAAATTGGGATTTTTCCATGGAAAATTGACCAAAATTGGGAAAAATCCACCAAAATTGGGATTTTTCCATGGAAAATTGACCAAAATTGGGAAAAATCCACCAAAATTGGGATTTTTCCATGGAAAATTGACCAAAATTGGGAAAAATCCACCAAAATTGGGATTTTTCCATGGAAAATTGACCAAAATTGGGAAAAATTGACCAAAATTGGGATTTTTCCCTTGGAAAATCGACCAAAATTGGGATTTTTCTATGGGAAAATGCCGGAAATTGGGATTTTTCCCAGGAAAATTGTCCAAGATTGGGGAAAATTGGGATTTTTATGTGGGAAGATGCCAAAAATTGGGAGAAATTGAGATTTTTTCCATGAGAAATCACCCAAAATTGGGGAAAATTGGGATTTTTGTGGCATTTCCCTCCAAAAACTCGGGATTGCCCTCAAAAAATCGGGATTTCCATCCAAAAAATCGGGATTTCCATCCAAAAAATCGGGATTTCATCCAAAAAATCGGGATTTTTATCCAAAAAATCGGAATTTTTATCCAAAAAATCGGGATTTCCATCCAAAAAATTAGGATTTTATCCAAAAAATTGGGATTTTTATCCAAAAAATCGGGATTTCCATCCAAAAAATCGGGATTTCCATCCAAAAAATCGGAATTTTATCCAAAAGATCGGGATTTCCATCCAAAAAATTGGGATAACCCTCCAAAAAATCGGGATTTTATCAAAAAAATCCGGATTACCATCCAAAAAATCGGGATTTCCATCCAAAAAATTGGAATTTTTATCCAAAAAATCGGGATTTTTATCCAAAAAATCGGAATTTTTATCCAAAAAATTGGGATTTCCATCCAAAAAATTAGGATTTTGTCCAAAAAATTGGAATTTTTATCCAAAAAATCGGGATTTCCAGCCAAAAAATTGGGATTTTATGCAAAAAATTGGGATTTTTATCCAAAAAATCGGGATTTTCATCCAAAAAATTGGGATTTTATCCAAAAAATCGGGATTTCCATCCAAAAAATTGGGATAACCCTCCAAAAAATCGGGATTTTATCAAAAAAATCCAGATTACCATCCAAAAAATCGGGATTTCCATCCAAAAAATCGATATTTTATCCAAAAAATTGGGATTTTTATCCAAAAAATCGGGATTTCCATCCAAAAAATCGGAATTTTATCCAAAAGATCGGGATTTCCATCCAAAAAATTGGGATAACCCTCCAAAAAATCGGGATTTTATCAAAAAAATCCGGATTACCATCCAAAAAATCGGGATTTCCATCCAAAAAATCGGGATTTCCATCCAAAAAATTGGAATTTTTATCCAAAAAATCGGGATTTTTATCCAAAAAATCGGAATTTTTATCCAAAAAATTGGGATTTCCATCCAAAAAATTAGGATTTTGTCCAAAAAATTGGAATTTTTATCCAAAAAATCGGGATTTCCAGCCAAAAAATTGGGATTTTATGCAAAAAATTGGGATTTTTATCCAAAAAATCGGGATTTTCATCCAAAAAATTGGGATTTTATCCAAAAAATCGGGATTTCCATCCAAAAAATTGGGATAACCCTCCAAAAAATCGGGATTTTATCAAAAAAATCCAGATTACCATCCAAAAAATCGGGATTTCCATCCAAAAAATCGATATTTTATCCAAAAAATTGGGATTTTTATCCAAAAAATCGGGATTTCCATCCAAAAAATCGGGCTTTCCCCCTAAAAAATCGGGATTTTCGCCGGATTTCCCCCCCCAAACCCTCAGAATTCCCCGTTTTTTTCCCCCTCCGGCCTCATCCCGATCCCATTCCCGTTTTTCTTTCCCAGATTTTGGGGGGATGGAGAACCCAACGACAGCGGGAGCAACGAGGGTTGCGCTCACCTCTGGCTCTCCGTGCGCTGCTCCTTCCAGGGTTTCTTCATCTGCGAGCGCCCCCTCCCCCCCAAATCCCAACATTCCCAACATTCCCAACGTTCCCACTGAAATCCCGGCTTTTTCCCGCCCTCCCCCGGGGGCTGAGGCGCGGAATTCCCAAAAAAAAAAACGGGAATTTGGGGCGGAAATGAAAGGAAATTCCTGCTCCGGTTTGGGCGTCCTGGGGGAAATTTGGGGTTTTCCTGGATTTTCCTGGATTTTCCTGAATTTTCCTGGATTTTCCCAGAATTTTCCTGGATTTTCCTGAATTATCCTGCATTTTCCTGGATTTTCCTGGATTTTTCCTGAATTTCCCTGAATTTTCCCAGAATTTTCCTGAATTTTTCTGAATTTTCCTGAATTTTCCTGGATTTTCCTGAATTTTCCTGAATTTTCCTGGATTTTCCCAGATTTTTCCTGCATTTTCCTGAATTTTCCTGAATTTTCCTGGATTTTCCCAGAATTTTCCTGAATTTTCCTGAATTTTCCCAGAATTTTCCTGAATTTTCCTGGATTTTCCTGAATTTTCCTGAATTTTCCTGGATTTTCCCAGATTTTCCCAGAATTTTCCTGAATTTTCCTGGATTTTCCCAGATTTTCCCAGAATTTTCCTGAATTTTCCTGGATTTTCCTGAATTTTCCTGAATTTTCCTGGATTTTCCCAGAATTTTCCTGAATTTTCCTGAATTTTCCCAGAATTTTCCTGAATTTTCCTGGATTTTCCTGAATTTTCCTGAATTTTCCTGGATTTTCCCAGATTTTCCCAGAATTTTCCTGAATTTTCCTGGATTTTCCCAGATTTTCCCAGAATTTTCCTGAATTTTCCTGGATTTTCCTGAATTTTCCTGGATTTTCCTGAATTTTCCCAGAATTTTCCTGAATTTTCCTGAATTTTCCTGAATTTTCTTGAATTTTCCCGAATTCCCAGGTTTTGTGCAGAATTCCCAGGTTTTGTGCAGAATTCCCGGGTTTTGGGCAGAATTCCCGGTTTTTGGTGCAGAATTCCCGGTTTTTGTGCAGAATTCCCAGGTTTTTGGGCAGAATTCCCAGTTTTCCATGCAGAATTCCCGGTTTTTGGGCAGAATTCCCAGTTTTCCATGCAGAATTCCCGGTTTTTGGGCAGAATTCCCAGTTTTCCATGCAGAATTCCCGGTTTTTGGGCAGAATTCCCAGTTTTCCATGCAGAATTCCCGGTTTTCGGGGCTCTCCCGCCGTTCCCGTCCCCGCGCGCGCTCCGCCCCCGCCCCTCCCCCCGGGGCGGGGCCGCCGCTGTCGCGATCCCGGGATCCCGATATCCCAATCCCGCTATCCCGCTATCCCGCTATCCCGCTATCCCGCTATCCCGCTATCCCGCTATCCCGCTATCCCGCTATCCCGCTATCCCGCTATCCCGCTATCCCGCTATCCCGCTATCCCGCTATCCCGCTATCCCGCTATCCCGCTATCCCGCTATCCCGCTATCCCGCTATCCCGCTATCCCGCTATCCCGCTATCCCGCTATCCCGCTATCCCGCTATCCCGCTATCCCGCTATCCCGCTATCCCGCTATCCCGCTATCCCGCTATCCCGCTATCCCGCTATCCCGCTATCCCGCTATCCCGCTATCCCGCTATCCCGCTATCCCGCTATCCCGCTATCCCGCTATCCCGCTATCCCGCTATCCCGCTATCCCGCTATCCCGCTATCCCGCTATCCCGCTATCCCGCTATCCCGCTATCCCGCTATCCCGCTATCCCGCTATCCCGCTATCCCGCTATCCCGCTATCCCGCTATCCCGCTATCCCGCTATCCCGCTATCCCGCTATCCCGCTATCCCGCTATCCCGCTATCCCGCTATCCCGCTATCCCGCTATCCCGCTATCCCGCTATCCCGCTATCCCGCTATCCCGCTATCCCGCTATCCCGCTATCCCGCTATCCCGCTATCCCGCTATCCCGCTATCCCGCTATCCCGCTATCCCGCTATCCCGCTATCCCGCTATCCCGCTATCCCGCTATCCCGCTATCCCGCTATCCCGCTATCCCGCTATCCCGCTATCCCGCTATCCCGCTATCCCGCTATCCCGCTATCCCGCTATCCCGCTATCCCGCTATCCCGCTATCCCGCTATCCCGCTATCCCGCTATCCCGCTATCCCGCTATCCCGCTATCCCGCTATCCCGCTATCCCGCTATCCCGCTATCCCGCTATCCCGCTATCCCGCTATCCCGCTATCCCGCTATCCCGCTATCCCGCTATCCCGCTATCCCGCTATCCCGCTATCCCGCTATCCCGCTATCCCGCTATCCCGCTATCCCGCTATCCCGCTATCCCGCTATCCCGCTATCCCGCTATCCCGCTATCCCGCTATCCCGCTATCCCGCTATCCCGCTATCCCGCTATCCCGCTATCCCGCTATCCCGCTATCCCGCTATCCCGCTATCCCGCTATCCCGCTATCCCGCTATCCCGCTATCCCGCTATCCCGCTATCCCGCTATCCCGCTATCCCGCTATCCCGCTATCCCGCTATCCCGCTATCCCGCTATCCCGCTATCCCGCTATCCCGCTATCCCGCTATCCCGCTATCCCGCTATCCCGCTATCCCGCTATCCCGCTATCCCGCTATCCCGCTATCCCGCTATCCCGCTATCCCGCTATCCCGCTATCCCGCTATCCCGCTATCCCGCTATCCCGCTATCCCGCTATCCCGCTATCCCGCTATCCCGCTATCCCGCTATCCCGCTATCCCGCTATCCCGCTATCCCGCTATCCCGCTATCCCGCTATCCCGCTATCCCGCTATCCCGCTATCCCGCTATCCCGCTATCCCGCTATCCCGCTATCCCGCTATCCCGCTATCCCGCTATCCCGCTATCCCGCTATCCCGCTATCCCGCTATCCCGCTATCCCGCTATCCCGCTATCCCGCTATCCCGCTATCCCGCTATCCCGCTATCCCGCTATCCCGCTATCCCGCTATCCCGCTATCCCGCTATCCCGCTATCCCGCTATCCCGCTATCCCGCTATCCCGCTATCCCGCTATCCCGCTATCCCGCTATCCCGCTATCCCGCTATCCCGCTATCCCGCTATCCCGCTATCCCGCTATCCCGCTATCCCGCTATCCCGCTATCCCGCTATCCCGCTATCCCGCTATCCCGCTATCCCGCTATCCCGCTATCCCGCTATCCCGCTATCCCGCTATCCCGCTATCCCGCTATCCCGCTATCCCGCTATCCCGCTATCCCGCTATCCCGCTATCCCGCTATCCCGCTATCCCGCTATCCCGCTATCCCGCTATCCCGCTATCCCGCTATCCCGCTATCCCGCTATCCCGCTATCCCGCTATCCCGCTATCCCGCTATCCCGCTATCCCGCTATCCCGCTATCCCGCTATCCCGCTATCCCGCTATCCCGCTATCCCGCTATCCCGCTATCCCGCTATCCCGCTATCCCGCTATCCCGCTATCCCGCTATCCCGCTATCCCGCTATCCCGCTATCCCGCTATCCCGCTATCCCGCTATCCCGCTATCCCGCTATCCCGCTATCCCGCTATCCCGCTATCCCGCTATCCCGCTATCCCGCTATCCCGCTATCCCGCTATCCCGCTATCCCGCTATCCCGCTATCCCGCTATCCCGCTATCCCGCTATCCCGCTATCCCGCTATCCCGCTATCCCGCTATCCCGCTATCCCGCTATCCCGCTATCCCGCTATCCCGCTATCCCGCTATCCCGCTATCCCGCTATCCCGCTATCCCGCTATCCCGCTATCCCGCTATCCCGCTATCCCGCTATCCCGCTATCCCGCTATCCCGCTATCCCGCTATCCCGCTATCCCGCTATCCCGCTATCCCGCTATCCCGCTATCCCGCTATCCCGCTATCCCGCTATCCCGCTATCCCGCTATCCCGCTATCCCGCTATCCCGCTATCCCGCTATCCCGCTATCCCGCTATCCCGCTATCCCGCTATCCCGCTATCCCGCTATCCCGCTATCCCGCTATCCCGCTATCCCGCTATCCCGCTATCCCGCTATCCCGCTATCCCGCTATCCCGCTATCCCGCTATCCCGCTATCCCGCTATCCCGCTATCCCGCTATCCCGCTATCCCGCTATCCCGCTATCCCGCTATCCCGCTATCCCGCTATCCCGCTATCCCGCTATCCCGCTATCCCGCTATCCCGCTATCCCGCTATCCCGCTATCCCGCTATCCCGCTATCCCGCTATCCCGCTATCCCGCTATCCCGCTATCCCGCTATCCCGCTATCCCGCTATCCCGCTATCCCGCTATCCCGCTATCCCGCTATCCCGCTATCCCGCTATCCCGCTATCCCGCTATCCCGCTATCCCGCTATCCCGCTATCCCGCTATCCCGCTATCCCGCTATCCCGCTATCCCGCTATCCCGCTATCCCGCTATCCCGCTATCCCGCTATCCCGCTATCCCGCTATCCCGCTATCCCGCTATCCCGCTATCCCGCTATCCCGCTATCCCGCTATCCCGCTATCCCGCTATCCCGCTATCCCGCTATCCCGCTATCCCGCTATCCCGCTATCCCGCTATCCCGCTATCCCGCTATCCCGCTATCCCGCTATCCCGCTATCCCGCTATCCCGCTATCCCGCTATCCCGCTATCCCGCTATCCCGCTATCCCGCTATCCCGCTATCCCGCTATCCCGCTATCCCGCTATCCCGCTATCCCGCTATCCCGCTATCCCGCTATCCCGCTATCCCGCTATCCCGCTATCCCGCTATCCCGCTATCCCGCTATCCCGCTATCCCGCTATCCCGCTATCCCGCTATCCCGCTATCCCGCTATCCCGCTATCCCGCTATCCCGCTATCCCGCTATCCCGCTATCCCGCTATCCCGCTATCCCGCTATCCCGCTATCCCGCTATCCCGCTATCCCGCTATCCCGCTATCCCGCTATCCCGCTATCCCGCTATCCCGCTATCCCGCTATCCCGCTATCCCGCTATCCCGCTATCCCGCTATCCCGCTATCCCGCTATCCCGCTATCCCGCTATCCCGCTATCCCGCTATCCCGCTATCCCGCTATCCCGCTATCCCGCTATCCCGCTATCCCGCTAT